TCCATGTCCATGTTGCATTTCTAACACCCAAATACAGAGATAAACGGGCTTACTTTATCAAACAATGCAAGGGATTTTGTAAGCAAAGTGTTAAGGTTCCCTAAAAACAAAAATAAAGCAATCTTAAATGTTTCAGAACCTGACAACAATGCACAATCAAGCTGGCCACAATGGACACATCTATAGCCTCTTAAAACCTATGTTTTCTCTTGAAGACTGATACTGAAAGGTTTTCAAGTATCACTAAAAGTGGTTTAATTAAAATTTCCTGTCAAAGGAATTAAAACAACTGTTCAAGAGGAGGAAAAAAAGCTTAAAAAGAATACATATTGAATGATTTCATTAATGTAACTAGAAAATGCAAACAAATTTATACTGTTAGAAAGCACATCAGGGTCTGGGGCTTAGGGCCTAGAGTGGAGGGAGGCAAGGACTACAAAGGGGCATGGGAGACCCTGGGGAGGCGGGAAGGAAATGTTCAGTATCTTGCTTGTTGGATGGACTCCCAAGTGTATACACATGTCAAAACTCAGTAAACTGCACTCATTAAGTGGATGCAGTTTAGTGTGTAAATATTACATCCCAATTAAAAGACAAAGAACAAAGAGGTAAAAACAAAAATACAAAACAAACCAAAAATGGAAAAGCCTGAATTAAGCCTTTCCTAAGAGCAGAGAACAAATCTTTCTAGACCAAGCCTCACAATATCATTATTTGTTATTTCCATTTTTAGCAGGTCTTTCAGCTGAGGGGAGTGAAAGAGTGACGACACCCCACCACATTGAATAAATAATGTGGAAACTGAAGCACTCAGCAAGTTTTAAATTACGGCAAAGTGGTATAGAGCACAGACTTGGGTTTAAAAGTGCTGGCTAGGGGCGCCTGGGTGGCTCAGTCGGTTGAGCGGCCGACTTCGGCTCAGGTCACGATCTCGCGGTCCGTGAGTTCGAGCCCCGCGTCCGGCTCTGTGCTGAGAGCTCAGAGCCTGGAGCCTGTTTCAGATTCTTTGTCTCCCTCTCTCTGACCCTCCCCCATTCATGCTCTGTCTCTCTCTGTCTCAAAAATAAATAAAACTTAAAAAAAAAAAAATTAAAAAAAAAAAAGTGCTGGCTAGAGGACCTGGGTGGCTCAGTCTGTTAAGCGTCTCACTGTTGGTTTCGGCTCAGGTTATGATCTCATGGTTTGTGGGATGTAGCCCTGTGTCGGGCTCTGCACTGACAGTATAGAGCCTGCTTGGGATTTTCCTTCCCTTTCTCTCTCTGCCTCTCCCCTGCTTGTGCTCCGTCTCTCAAAATAAATCAATAAACTTAAAAAAAAATAAAGTGTTGTTTTTGTTGTGATCTATAGAGTGGTCACAAAGCCTCTGTGCCTGCAAGTTACCTCAAATCCTCCCCTTCCCCCACTGGCCATTTGCTACTCAGTTTACAAATTTTCCCATGCTCTTCTTCACATCATGGGCTTATAGTGGCTACAGAGTCCCCTTGCATGAGATGCTGCCTAAAACAGCTGACGGGGGAAAAGTAGACTCAGGCACAAGTCTTAGCATTTAGGAGCCCTTTTTCCATCTGTGAAATGGGAGTACAATCGAACTACCATGTGACTAAAGAGAACATGTAACTTGGCATTAGCCATATGGGCTTCACTTATAATACATGCTCAATAAATATTTGTTAAAGAAATAAGTGAATCAATGAGCTGATTTACTGAAATGAAGATCGAGTTTATAAGAATGTGTATATGTGCACACAGGTGCTGGTTGGGGGGTTAGTAGGTAGATAATGGAATGAAATGCTTAATGTAACTTAGATATACTACAGGAAACCAGTTTCCTAATGAGAAGAATCACTCAGTGATGTATATGCCATTTGTACCTCATATAAATCATGATTTAATGAAATTGTGAAGAGCACCCATTTAACAAAAACTTTGAATGGTTGGATAGATTATGTTAAATGGCCAATCATCTAGCTTCTCAAAAATCATGATTATGTTACAACAGTGTTGAGTACTGTAAGAATACTCACTACTCAGTTTTTATTTGACTTTGTGTGAGGTAAACATATTGCAGAGCAGAACACCTCACAGCTTATTTGCTGATATAAATCATTAACCATTTTTGTAAACAAGTTTAGAATAACAATCTGAATTTTATTACAAACAAAAATAATCTAGAAAGCTTCCTTCAATTATACAGTATGCACAAGGATTTCTGCATTACACGGTTTTACATAAAATGTTTTGAATGATACAAGTGGGACTTCCTACCATTTGAAGAGGAGTTGACTGCTGAAAACCATACACTTAACAGAAAGAAAAAAGTTTCACAGGCAAAACTTATGATCTCTGGCTACAGGCAGGAGCGGAAACTAGGAACATAAAAGAAGCTTGGAGAAAAAAAAAGACAATAAATACTCCAAAATGCTTTAGCAAAAAGAGTCAAACATTTGTAAACAACTTTTAAACAAATCTCTTTACTATGTGGTGTTGCTATAAAGTCAAGTCTTAACTGATTTTCATTTGACTCAGAAAAGTTACTTTTACTGCTGAGTATTTCTCTCTAGACTTTTTCTTTCCCTGGAGAATAAAATATAATTAGGTATTGTTTGAGATTCTGAATTTCTTAGAGGGGGCCTTTGAGCCACTTGCTTGTCTTTTTGCTATTTCCACCCATAAATGAGGGTTAGAGTGAAAGGTAAAACCAGAATCAATAAAAATTTTGGCTCCTTATTAGTCTCTGTTTGGAGGTTTAATGGGTGAGGATGCTGATAAAACTAGCTGTGGATTGTAATTATCCCTGCTGCACTTTTATCCCATCAGGGATAATCAGGACTTAAAAAGTATGAGCTTTGCAACACAACTACTTACAAACCATGTAGGCTGAGCTGCACTCAGTGTCTAGGACAATTACTGTTTGAGAACCCCCAGGAACTTACTGTAAACAAACAAGCAAGTGTTCAAGAGCCTGTTTTTGTACTTGGTACCATGACGTAACACTACTATTTTCTTTCGTTTTCCTACTTGAGACTTTTATGAAGTGATTACATGTAACAATAATAAATTTTCCCTTTAAGTATATATGATATATAGTAAAAACACATTAATGACTAAAATAAAATCTGAAGTCAAGCATTAGCATCCACACTTGAATGTCTTGTGCTCTGAGATAATCAGAAAAGTCTCTAAACACTGACTAGGTCCCTCTTGGTGAAGTGACACATGTATGTAACAAGCAGCAATGCTAGGAGTTATATACTTTTCCTTAGTCTACAGGTATTTTCTGTGCCAATTTTATTTTACTATTAATGTGTTGAGACCAGTATCACTTTCAGCTAGGTAATCAAATTATTTGGGAATGATAACCTTTCTTTCATTTAAATCAAGCAATGGTAGACATTTATTTACTGGAAACTTTCTAATAATAGATTTTGAGGAAGCTAAAAATGACACAGTTTAGTACAAACTGTCCTTTACCTTTATTGCTTGTATACACAGGAATACATTATAAAACTCAGTGGAAGGAGGAAAAAAGTAACAGAAGAAAAAGTTACCTGCTTTAGCATTTTTTAAGAATAGTTTTGATAACTTCTTAGATCAACTTGCTTATCTGAAACAGAGCAGAACTACAATACAATCATGATATAATTCTAATAATCACAGAAATTATGCTTTCATTTTTAATTTTCTCTTCATAAAACATTAATGCTATAAAAATGAGGTTGATGACATCCTTATTTAAAAGACACCTTGTACTGGTATCAAAATGTGATTTATTTTAATACCAACTGAAAAAATAGAGCTTATATAGTCTATTATTTCAATGAAGTTTATTACTTTTATTTTCAAAGTTTACGGTAGCAAAGTTATTGTTAACAATATAAATTTTCTCTTTATAAGTGTTGAAATTCCCTTAAAAGTGTTGAAAGGCAGCAGGCATTCTAGGATGGGCTTGTAAGGAAAATTAATTATTCCAATGTTGATAAAGAGTATACTTGATGAATTTATATTTCCTTCTTTAACTTCCTTACTAAACTTCTCCTGATTTGCCAGGTTTTTTTTAATTTTTTACTCTTTTGGTATCATAAAAGAAATCTAAGCCCAAGCCTTTTAGTTGGAGCAATTATTTCCATTTTCCATCATTTCTCTTCAGTTTTTCAAATATACACTACAACAATCCAATAATCATTGCAGGAAGGAATGATCATTTAAGCTGGATCGTGTTCATTTACCTTTTAATTTCATTTAGGAGATATTAATATTAGAGTCATAAAGTCTTTACAGTCTCAACACACATACACACAATCACAGAATTAAAAATCTTTATATCTTAAAAAAAGGGTTCCATTTTGTTCAATGTATCATAATTTCAGTCCAATGAAATATGCTTTTATTAAATACAGCAGCCGCCACTTACCTTTAAATATTTTATGGATGGAACTAAGTTCAGTACTGATTGAAGGATGCTGGCATCAGAGCCCTCACTTTGGAACTATCTCTAAAGGTTCTGCATTTCTATAATGTACCACTGATTATTCTAGATTTTATAATACCCTGTCTTTAACTTGGTATATACCATCTTTTGGAAAAAAAAATTATTTGTTTTTTGAGATGAGATACAAGAACAAAATCATTCTTGAGGTTCCACCTCGAAAAAAGGCGATGTTTGCACATAGCAGCTAGTTTGATACCCCGTTTTGTTAGGCTAGCCTTCACACAATGAGCATGCATATATAGCCATGGTTCACTGCATCTGTTTTGAAGTTGAGAACTGCTGCTTATTCAAGTCACAGATGCCCCCATGTTATGCAAGGAGACAGTTGAACTGCATGTCCACCATGAGAAAAAGAAAATAAACGATGAAACAAAATGCAGCAAATATAGGCAGTTGGCATTCAGAACACGCCCAAAAGCTAACACTCACGATTTGTCATTAGAAGGGCTTTTCTTTCCTTAAAAAAAAAAGTCTTTCTTTGCATATTTTAAAATTTGAAGGTCCCAGAGAATCATGAAGTGCCTTGTCGTTTTTGCTGCTGGCTTCTGATGACCTCTAGTTGTTTTTTACATTGCTGGTAGTAAGTAGAAAGGCTTTTGTTTTCATCTAAAAGCTTTTTATGTTCCTGTACCAGACGAGATGTATTTTGCTGGTCCTTTTCATCCTGGTCCAGTTCTGCAACTAGTTCTTGCCTAAAAACAAATACCACATAATAAAATATAGTAAAAGATACACGATAGAAAAAATTTATACACTAATAACCAATGAGCTCAACTAATTAGAACTTTTATTCTGGCTCTGTCACTATGCATCTCAGGGACACCATGCAAATGTAACTGCGGGCTAGAATGGAGACTAGCATCCACTCTTCTGGTTTACCCATACAAACACCATAATCCTTTTATTTTAATAAGTAACTCTACTTAGACAATTAGTGAATACAGATAAAATGGTATAATTAAAGTTTTAGAAAATTTTATCTGGTATCCTTTTTGTGTAGGAAGAAAAAGGCTGGGGAAGGGCTCTGACCACAGGAAAATAACATGATGTTTTTACCATTCACATTCCACTTTTACACTCATGAAATTTTATTCATGTTTTGAAGTCAGTTTTATTTAACCACAGTGCCAAGTGGGGGCTAATACAACATTTGCAAGCTAATTAAAATAGATGCTATCAACTTAAGTCTGTTTCTTATTTTAAAACAGTGAGAACAATATAAAGTACCACTTTCAAATGAGTTATTCACTTTTAAGAACATTTTCAGGAATGACCCTTAGAGACTTTCATAGCCTGATAAACTTTTTTAAGCCCCCTTTTATTTGGGAGATGTTCAATATTAGCTCCTATAGCGAAGTTACTGGATATAACTGAATAACTAAAGAAAAGCCTCTGAATGGTTTTCTTGTAATACTTCTCATTTTTAAAGTATTCAAGGGGTGCCTGGGTGGCTCAACTGGTTAAGCTTCCGACTTCAGCTCAGGTCATGATCTCATGGTCCATGGGTTTGAGACCCATGTCAAACTCTTGTCCAGCTCAGAGCCTGGAGCCTGCTTTGGATTCTGTCTCTCCCTCTCTCTCTCTGCCCGTCCCCTGCTTCTGCTTTCTCTCTCAAAAACGCATAAACATTAAAAAAAAATAAAGTATTTAAAATTGATTAAAACCATCATAGTGTTCACATTCCCTCAATCCACCATTTATTTTTTCCAGCTCAGAACTCCTCTTTCAAATGAATAAAGTATGAAAAAAGTATAGGTTAAACATGTGAAATAAGAAAGTTTTTTTTTTTTTTAAATAAAGTACTAACAGTTCTATAGTTAGCTCCATAATTTGCAGACTCTAATATTTATTTCCTATATAGCTTTTAAGGTACTGAATTGAAATAATTTACATTGTTATAACAATAAATTGCGATGGAGCTACTTTTTGTTTGTTTGTTTTTTTGGAAGTACAAAAATAAATTATTCCAGGAAGCAAGAAATTTTCACTTATTTAGATTAAAATTAATAGACGGAATCCTATTACCATATACACATATAGTTGCCATGAGTTTTTCCTATAGCACTTCATTTTAGTTACCACAGTAACTCAGCTTCAGAGGTACAAAATTTCATGAGGTACAAAATTTCATGACGTTCATGTTTAAGAAAACTGAAGTTTTGGGTTTCTTTAAGAATTTCAAATAAAGGAGTATGGGAATTGTAGTTCTTAAAAAAGCGAGGAAGGCAGCCTCCATAACTCTTAGAAAGACACATGGAGTATAAAACTCCCAAGAAAAACACTCACAGGTATAAAATAAAGTAATTCTATTCTCCTAAACAGATACCTGGAGAGAACAGATCTACAAAATGTTTCTAAGATAAAGCACAAGTGAACATTAGTAAATCAAATTATTTCACTTATGTCCAAGGAAACAATAAATCTTTATAATTATAAATCTAAACAGCTTTTAATTTTAAAATTCTTAGAACATAAAACATGCTTATGTAGCACCAGTTTATTTTCCTTAGTTTTAATGTATGTAGTCAAAAAGGTTTAGTTTTGCAAGAAAAATAGCCAAAAGGTGCTACAAACCGAAAGGTAGAACATATGTAGAACCTCCAAATTACAAATATAGTTGAACAACATGGGTCTGAACTGTATGTGTCCACTTATACGTGGATTTTTGTATAGTACTGCAAATGTATTTCCCCTTCCTTTTGATTTCCTTAAAATTTTCTTTTCTCTAGCTTACTTTATTGTAAGAATACAGTACATAATACTCATAACATATAAAATATATGTTAATTGACTGCTTATGTTATTGGTAAGGATTCTGGTCAACAATAGGCTATTAGCAGTTATGTTTTTGCAGAGTCGGAAGTTACATGCAGATTTTTGAATGAGTGGGAGTTCACAACCCGAACCCCCAAGCTATTCAAGGAAGTCAAGTGCATGCTTAATGACTAATTCTAAAAATTAATACAGTTTTCATGTCTTTAAACAATATTTCACCTTAACATATTTTAGACCCAAAATACTAATGTGTTTTATTTTTATTCATAACAGTCAACTTACTTTCTCTGTAATAACAATGCAATTTCTGTTTGAACTTTCATATATTCTTGTGCCATTTTACAATGCTGCTCAAACACTGCCATAGATTCTTTGGAGTTTGGGCACGGTGCTAGAGGCTGCAAATAAATAAAGTTAAAACATAATTAAATCAAATCTCAATATCAAGCTGAGAGTTAATATGGTGACTGTGATATATTTTTATAGCACTAAAGCAATGATCTTTTAAAAATAAGTGTTAACCCATGGCCTAGAAAATTTCAGTGTCCTTTTGTCAGAGTTAACTCACAGCTTAAATTCACACCTGTGGTTTTAACACTTTCATTGTTATAGCGGATCATGACTAAAGTGATCACTGGCCTCTGGTTTTACATTTCAGGTTGCCAAACCGTATTATACCAAGAGGGTTTATGGCTCTCATACTCATGAGGAGACACTGAAGTGTATTACTTATATTTTCAGTCACAATGAACATGACAGTGTATTACAAAATCTACTAAGTAGAAATGAGCTTAAGTAAATTTTATATTGTAGTGCACTGAAAGAGCAAAAATGCTATTCTTGGCATCCTTAAACAAAGATATGGGAGTATTTTAAGACAACTGTTAAGAACATGATTTTGCCAATTTTAAACTTGATTAACTTAACTGAATGAATTATTTTAACTTGAATTTAGAAAGTTTGGGGAAGCCAACTAAAAGCATAAATAAATGAATATACGATGACAAGATATGAACACTTTCTAGGTAGATTCTAGAAAGATTCTCTAGCTTAGATAGCTTTCTAGATAGATTCTCTAAACCTTTTCTATAAGGAAAAAGTAAAAACGGTCACTGAGAAACTACTCCTTTACCTGTAGTTGGTGATCCAGTGTAAGATAAGCCATTGGGATGGAGTTATCCGATCCATTGGTATCTGGAATTCAAGTATGTGTTTATTTATTTTCTATCATAAATAATTATAAACAAAAAGCAAGAAAGCTTCATGAGATATTGGCATTTTGTTCCTAAAGTAAGCAACACATAAAATAAAAGTTATTGCTACTGGTAATGAAGAGTCTATTTCTGAATTTAAAGGTAAACACAGAACATCCAATTACCAGATAATCAGAATGCAATCATACTCTCATACAATTTAAGTTGGCTATAAATTACATAATATTAAAGCTTACAAATGCTTGTTCAATTAAAAACAAAAACAGTGGTATGGGACCTTTTTAAAATTTGGTCTTCACTGACCCCACCTAATCAAAGCTCGTATCTCTTTCTTTCCTTGACCATGCTAAGTCTGCTATAAGGCTGTGTCAACCCCTTGAACATTCGTGCTCTTTAACGAAGAAAGAGGGGAAAATAAGAGATACATTCTCTTCCAGTGGATTACCTTCAATTTATATATATTCTAGTGTGAACCCTCAACCCACCTCCCCTAATGAGAATCACTGCAGAAAATGAAAGATGTTTTTGATGGGAGTATGTTAAACACAGGTATAATGAACAGTTAGGTATATGGAAACTGCAGTTCAGTGTCCTGTGTGAAACAGTTAAATGGATTAAATCAAACAACTAGTCGATTTTACCAAATTGTTTGGACGGCTTTTGTTTGTATTTCATAAGAGGTAAACTGTCATAACTTGCATGAGTCACATGGGATTAACATTTATGCCTCCAGAAGCAGGCAGGATAACTGTGAAGTAATACAGACTTTTTATTTCAGAAGTAGCTGCCTTCCCACAGTTAGGAAAGAGTAAATGAGCTACACAACTGAACTGTTCAGCCCTTTTCCTGACAAGTGACTCCTTGAAAGAGTGGTATAGATAAAGACAAGGTCAGGCTGACAGTAAGGCACTGTATGCAAAGCAATAAAAAACTAGGACAGTTTGATGGTTCACTAACCTCAGTAATTTATTGTTGACTGATGAATATTCTAGTTTCCTTTTTTAAAGCCATTGAGAATGTGCTTGCAAGTAACTCTAAAAGCCAAGCTAAATCAGATGAAATAAGATAATGCATGTAAGAAATACCATGCAATGCTGGCATATGGTATGCAGTCAACACATGGTGGTGATGGTTACTATTACTGTAGTCGTTGTTGTTATTGATATAAAATGGGAGCATTAGAAAGGACAGGCAATTTAAATTCTAAAGTTTGTTTTTCTGATTGAAAAAGTAATGCTTATTAAATACCGGAGTGCAATAAAGAAAAATAACAGCATATTGCCTAGTAGAGTCCTACCTACCTTAAAATTATATACACTATCATAAATGTTTCCCGAAATGGTTAAACAAGAAATACACTTAATTTGTTATTTCCCTCACCAATTCTTTCCCCACCCACAACAAGACTTTCAAACTATGCTCCCATGGAACACTATTTTCCACAAAATTACAACTGACTGGGGCACCTGAGTGGCTCAGTTGGTTAAGTGTCAGACTCTTGGTTTTGGCTCAAGTCATGATTTTCCAGTTCGTGAGTTCGAGCCCCACACTGGGCTCCATGCTGATAGTGCAGAGTCTGCTTTGGATTCTCTCTTTCACTCTCTTTGACCCTCCCCTGCTCACACTCTCTTTCTCTCTCTCTCTCTTTCTAAATTCATTCATTCATTCCTTCCTTCCTTCATTCGTTCATTCATTCCCCCTGGGGCACCTGGGTGGCTTAGTCAGTTAAGCACCTGACTTCAGCTCAGGTCTTGATCTCACGGATCGTGGGTTCAAGCCTCGCGTCTGGCTCTGTGCTGACAGCTCAGAGCCTGGAGCCTGCTCCGGATTCTGTGTCTCCCTCTCTCTCGGCCCCTCCCCCGCTCATGCTCTGTCTCTGTCTCTCTCTGTGTGTCAAAAATAAACATTAAAAAAATTTTTTAAATCTTTCATACTTGATGTATCTTATTAAATAAATACCCTGTATCTGATATGTATTTTAGAATTAAGTATATCAGTGTTTCACAGTATTCAGGGAATGGAAAAAAAAAGCCAAGGACTGTTATTAACTATTAAAGTACTCAGCTTACACTGCAAATATAGTAGTTTATTAAATTTATTAAATAAAGCATGCTGAGTTTATTTTTATTTTTAATGGGCCAGTATTCTGACTCTAATAATATTACAAGGAATGGGCTCCATGTCTTATACTTCTGTCTTTGCAAACATTGAGTGTTTCCCCCCTCTGTGGCTCCCTCTACTGTGTCTAGCCATCTCTCTCACTAACTGCTCTTGGGTATATGTCTTTCTTTATCCCCACTATTATAAATAGAAACCCAAAGGCCCTCATTATGTGCTGTGATCATTAAACCCATGTATGCTTTTTACTTTTCTCTGAAAATGCATAGAAATCCCTTCTCTTTTAAAGTAAAAACATCTGATTAATTTTTTTTAACTATGTATGTATGCACTTGTAATTTTTTCCTAAATCAGGGGCCTTCAAAGAAAAAGGATTTGCCAGTATCTCTTCCCTGTAATTTACTGTATTAGCTTGATCATCGATACTTTTCTTAGAAACAGTGCAAAGCTGAACTTCATTAAATATAAGGCTTAAACCACTCTCAACTTTTAAAATTATATTAAAAATTATTTAAAAATGCCAAAGACAAATTTGAGTTGAATTCTGGACCCAGGTACAATTTCTAACTATTGGCATTTTGTGGTATCTTAGGTCCCAAAAAGAAAAAAATGAGACTGGGGTTGGAAGTTTGGAAGAACACGGGAAGTCGAAAAAACACAGCAGTTAAGTGAGAGGGACGTAAGAGGATTTTTATTTTACTTTCATGAGTTCACATCTGCCACATGGTGACTGGTATGTCTAGATCAGTCTAGGCTGAAGTCAGGAGGCCGAGTTGAGTACCTCCCTCACCAGAGGGCTGAAGACCCAAAAAGAGCTAACAGTACCTGAATGTTAATGATCAAGTCTGTCAAGAGCATTTCCCTATGTACCTCTGAGGAGAAGCACACAATGATGAATTCTGCACATGTGCTGCTGAGTACTGGTTAATGTTCTGGACAGTCCTAGGTTGGGCAATGCTAGGGGTTAGACTTAGAGGAGTTTTTGCCACCACTAAATTTAAACTTGCTAAAACTAGAGAGTACACCCTTGGCTAAACATAGTTGTATCTTACACGAAACAGAGAAAAGCTACTCAGTTAATTTTTTATATTAAATTATGAACTTGACGAAGCCATGCCAAATATCTATAAATACTTGTAAGTAGTGTTTTTGTTTGTAAAGACAGAAAGCTGACTTTTTAATTTGGATTTAATTGCCACTATTAATAACATAGTTGATCTTATACAAGATCCCAAATGATCTGATTTTCTAAGGTCTAAGAGATCATCTTTCCTTCTCTGACATAATAACATATAAATAATAAATTTTTATAGAACCATACTGCTGAGTATTTATTAAGGAATTCTCTTAATGCTAAGGAAAAGTTAATTCCACTATGGCACATAATTTCCTGCTTGCCCATAATAAACCTATTCCATCATTAGATTTTAATACTAATATTTTAACCAGTTAGTCATTCATGTTAAGGATTTTAGTGACTCTTCACAGGCTTTTTAAGGTCTAGTTAAAAATTTAGAGATTTATTTATTTACATTTAGAAATTTAAATTTCTAACTAGAAATTTATGTATCTGAAATGAAGTCTCCCTACCAGTTAAAAATGATTCAAAAGGTCAATGGTCAGAAATTTTTTTTTCACTGAAGTGAGGTACTGGCATCTTGTGTCTTTAAAACAAAAGACTGAGATGAAGAGGATTATTATTCTGATTTTAGTTCTTTAAAAAATAATGACTTTACTACTATCATCTAGTAGGATGGATCAAAAATAGGAAAATCAGAGATGTAAGTTCAAGAATACAATATCTTCCTGTCTGTAAAAACCCCAAATCAAACCATGTTCAAAATACATGTTTAGTATCTGGGGGGAAATGAAGTATCTGGGGAAATGAAGAGGGCAAGACAATCTCAGTACTCATAAAGTCATCTTTAAGTTTATTGCTAGATATTTGATTTTATTAGTATAAAAATCTAGCCTATTGTAAAATGTCTGCCTTTATTTAAAAAAATTTTTTTTAATGTTTATTTATTTTGAAGAGAGAGGGAGAGAGACAGCGCATGAGAAGAGCAGGGGCAGAGAGAGAGGGAGACACAGAATCCAAAGCAGACTCCAGGCTCTCAGCTGTCAGCACAGAGTCTGACGTGGGGCTTGAACCCACAAACCATGAGATCATGACCTGAGCCGAAGTCGGATGCTCAACCGACTGAGCCACCCAGGCACCCCCAAAAATGCCTGCCTTTATAAAGATCAGAGTCATAACACAAAGAAATGAAAACAAATATGATAAATTCAGCTTCATAATTATAATGAGGAAATACACTGGTCACCTGTGGAATCATCAGGAGTCCATGGATGACTTCGACTTGGCTTTTCTGAGGTTGGTCCTGAGGTAGTGATCATTCTGACACTAGGACTGGATGACCTACTGCTTACCTGTAGGAAGAAGTAATAGAAGGAACAAAATGTGATGTTTATGTGGGAATAAAAAAAGACAAGGGAAAATTTTTATTATAGAGCAAAAGATAGGCTTCCATTTCTATCAACAGAGGTCCTAAAACACTCTTGCAAAAAATATATCCTCTAAAAAGATACCTCTTAAAACTTGGTGAGCTTTCAGAGCACCCAGGTGGCTCTGTGGGTTAAGTGTCTGACTCTTGGTTTTGGCTTAGGTCATGATCTCACAGTTCATGAGTTTGAGCTCTGGTTCAGGCTCTGTGCTGCCAGCACAGAGCTTGCTTGGGATTCTCTCTCTCTCTCTCTCTCTCTCTCTCTCTCTCTCTTTCTGCCCCACCCCTGCTTGCACTCTCTCTCTCTCTCTCAAATGAACTTAAACAAACAAACAAACAAACAAGAAACAAAACTGCTGAGCTTTCAAGAAAGTAAGAGAAATGCTCTGAGACCAGAAATAAAGCAGGAGCAGGAGTCTAGTAAGTGCTTAAGCTATTAGACGGGAATTTCAGTTGAACACCAATGACCTAGAGCTTTTGTTTTGCCTACTTTCTGTACTCAGAGGAATAAGCATAAAGTCTTGGGTCTTTGTAGGATGGGAATGAGACCAGAGAACTGCCTTGCTTAAAGCTAAAACCCAAGAAAGTCCTCACTCTTGGGGAAAAAGTAAACTAGGAAAAACATCTACCCTATAAAAGCAGATAGCAAATAAATTTGTCTGCATTGGTAGTGGCTCTGGGTGAAGGGGAGAAAATGTATACTGTGAATTCATAAAATATTTCCATAATTGATAGAAGATACAACAAATCCCAATGACAACCAATCCCAAGCAGAAAAAATAACAGAAAAGCTACAATAACTGAGTTAAACATGGGTCATATCATCGTCAAATTCTAGAAAACAAAGACAAACAGAAGATAGAAGGAGGCAGCCAGAGAAAGATTATCCACAAAAGAATACTAGTCAGATTCTCAACAGCAAAAAGGAAGCCAGAAGCCAGAAGACAGTGGAATATCTTTAAATTTTTTTTTTTCAATGTTTATTTATTTTTGCGACAGAGAGAGACAGAGCATGAACGGGGGAGGGGCAGAGAGAGAGGGAGACACAGAATCGGAAACAGGCTCCAGGCTCCGAGCCATCAGCCCAGAGCCTGACGCGGGGCTCGAACTCACAGACCGCGAGATCGTGACCTGGCTGAAGTCGGACGCTTAACCGACTGCGCCACCCAGGCGCCCCGAAAGTGGAATATCTTTAAACTGCAAAAAGAGATTAACTGCCAACTTAGAATAGGTTAGCCAACAAAAATGTAAAGAATGAGGTCAAAATAACGTTCTTAGACAAGCAAAAAGGGAGTCTACCATCCATATACTCTTATAACAATATCTAAAGCATGAACTTTAGGGGTAAGAAAAGTTTTTCTCTGATGGAAGGGCCTAGTTACAATCAGGAATGTTGGTAAACACAAGGATGAATCTATACACAGAAAATATTAAACAATGGAAATATGACTAATTTACAAAATTACCAAGCAAAAAATAAATAAGATGGAACTAAAAACTGAACAAAAGCATAAGCAAAATAAGGAATGCTTTAAAAATGCTTATATTGTTGAGAATAAGAATAAAGATGTTAACTTTAGGTTCAGTATGAGTGTTAAAGTTTCTCAGGTAGTTACAAAACATAATACATATGACTCCAAATAAGAAAGACAAATAATGGAATGAGAAATGTATTTGTTCAATTCAAAGGAAGGCAAAAAACGAGAAAAAAAGAGAAAAAAGAAAGCATAAAATAAGGAGCAAACTTATTGATAATATAAATGGATTAAACTCTTCAGTTAAGATATTTATTTATTTATTTTTTTTTTTTTTAATTTTTTTTCAATGTTTTTATTTATTTTTGGGACAGAGAGAGACAGAGCATGAACGGGGGAGGGGCAGAGAGAGAGGGAGACACAGAATCGGAAACAGGCTCCAGGCTCCGAGCCATCAGCCCAGAGCCTGACGCGGGGCTCGAACTCACAGACCGCAAGATCGTGACCTGGCTGAAGTCGGACGCTTAACCGACTGCGCCACCCAGGCGCCCCTTCAGTTAAGATATTTAAAAAAATCAGAGTGTCAGGCTAGATTAAACGTTGTTTATAAGAATTAGATCTAACAGAGATAGAGAAAACAGGAAGTTAAAGGATAAAAAAGGATAATCAGGCAAACCTACCCAAAATAAAGTTATTCAGCTATATTATATGAGAGAGGATACGTTTTAGGGCAAAAAAAAAAAAAAAAATGATTAGAGAAGGAGATAAAATGATAAATGAGTCAATTCACTATGTAACAACAATTCAAAACTTATGTGCTCTATTATACTACATGCTGTATCTATACATCGCTTCCAAATAGATAAAGCAATAAAACTGCAAGGAGAAAGGGACATATTCACCATTATCGTGAGATATTTTAATACTCCTCTGTAAATATTTTATAAAAGCAGACCAGGGGTGCCTGGGTGGCTCAGTCGGTTGGGCGGCCGACTTCAGCTCAGGTCATGATCTCGCAGTCTGTGAGTTCGAGCCCCGCTTTGGGCTCTGTGCTGACAGCTCAGAGCCTGGAGCCTGTTTCAGATTCTGTGTCTCCCTCTCTCTGACCCTCCCCCATTCATGCTCTATCTCTCTCTGTCTCAAAAAATATAAATAAACGTTAAAAAAATAATTTAATAAAAAAAAAAAAGCAGACCAAAAAATATATATATATAACACTAGTGAAACCTGAACTCCAAAAAAAGCAAGCTTGATCTAAACAAAAAGATATGACTAAAAATTGGAGAATATGCATTCTTTTTAAGCACCATGGAATGTTTATGAAAACTGATCATGTACTAAACTATAAAGCAAATCTCAAAAAAGTTAAAAAAAATTATTATATAAACCATGTATTTTTGTACTGATTCAAAATTAACCTTAAAAATCTCATGTTTAGACATTAAAAAAATTTTTTTTTAATGTTTTTATTTATTTTTGAAACAGAGAGAGACAGAGCATGAGCAGGGGAGGGGCAGAGGGAGAGGGAGACACAGAATCTGACGCAGGCTCCAGGCTCCGAGCTCTCAGCACAGAGTCCGACACAGGGCTCCAACTCATAGACTGTGAGATCATGACCTGAGCTGAAGTTGGACGCTCAACCGACTGAGCCACCCAGGCGCCCCTGTTTAGACATTTAAAAATACTTCTAAATAACTCACTGGTCAAAGAAAACAAAGTGGAAATGAGAAAGTAAGTGATTTTTACCATGGAACACAGGAAAACCTGTGGGATGCAACTAAAGATGCACTTGGAGAAAAATATTTAATTCTAAATATTTAGATGAAAAAAATCAGAAGTAGTGACAATTTACAAGATAGACATTTAACTTACAAAGTTAGAAAAAGAACAGTTATCAGTCCCCCCCACCGATAACAAAATAAAAATGAGAATACTACAAAAATTTGGTGGTTAGTAAATTAAAAATAAAACACCAAAAAAAATCAAGTGTAACAAATTCCAAAAAATATATAAATCACCAAAATTTCTACACATTAAAGAAAACACCAAACCCAGAGGATTTTACAGTTGAGTTCTATCAAACAATCAAGAAAATATCACTTTCCATCTTAAAGAAATTATTCTAGAAAAAAGAAACACTTCTTGACTCATTCTGTGAAAGCAATAAACCTGGTTAAGAAACAACAGAATAAGAAATACTACTAGCTAACCTCACTGATGAAAATACGTGCAAAGTTAAAAGTCCTAAAAATTACACTAGCAAATGAAATTTGGCAATGTAAAGACAATAAAAATAATTTGAAAAATTGAGGGTATCCCACAAATGCAAAGGCCACTTGATGATAGGAATTCTATTAATCCAATTCATTATATTAACAGATTAAAGGAGAAAATTCTCAATAGATATATAAAAAGGCATTTGACATAATTTAACAGCCATCTATGAAACTACATTTAACAAACTTAAATTCCATTTAAGGGAAGATAATTTCTTAACCGGAGATATTTATAAAAAGCCTAGAAACGTGGTCTGAGAGAAAATGGTACTGTAGGCTGGTGGATGACAGGGAGGCCACAGGCAAGGAATACAAAGAAAAGACTCCTAGGCATCGATCATGTTCCATTTCCTAAGCTGTGTGGTGGATTCATGAGTGTCCATTTTATTATCAGCTTTCGCAACTTACATATTCATATATTCTTATCTATGTATTGTTATTTCATATATTAAAAACTCTCAAAGGACATATGAACTAAAATGGATTTTATAAGAATCTTTTTTTTAAAAGCACCTGTTTTTCTTGAAGTGTTAGTGAATACCCTACAGAAGACACAAAAAAGAATATGGAGTTATACATATACAAAGTAAAACATAAAAAGCACATGCATTCATGAAGAACCTTATGTCCAATTTCAATATGTAAACACAGAAAAACACTCAAAGGGCTGCCTGGGTGGCTCAGTTGGTTGGGCTGCCTGACTGCTTGTACGACCATTCACGGAAAAGCTTGTAAAAGTCGGAGCCTCGCCATTGGAATTTGTTTAAAGGCAGTTTCAGAGCCGGAGCTGCTTTTATTTCCTGTGTTCTCTTTCTGCTCTCACTTCTCTGCTTTCGCTACTTTGCCTTGCTTTCGAAATGAATAAGGCCGAATATCCATAAAAAAAAAAAAAAAGAAAAGTATTACTCGAAAAGACTAAGCTTTGGTAAAATGAAAGTACAGTGGAAAATTTTATAGAAATAGCCTAGTAGATGAATGCCTTAATATAGTACAATGCCTGATGAAGCGAGTATTTTTTTTTTTTTTTTTATTATGTAGTTTTCTATTAAGCCAAATTGTTTCTATACAATACCTAAAAGCTCATTCCCAAAGGTGCTCTCTACAATACTACCCATCACCACCCTTCTGCCTCTCCCCACCGCCTTCATCAACCTCAAGTTTGTTATTCTCAAAGT